TAAACACATTTAAGGTCTTGTGCATCCTGTCATTATTCAATCATATACCGATTTAACACTGCAAAATTCTTTCTTGGCTGATATACAGAGGAGCCAAAGTTAAGTTAGACCCACATCTTGTCTCCCAGGACTTGAGAACCCAACAGAGGAAACATGACATATACTTAGAAAGCTATAAAAATCTAGAATGTAGGAGTTTGTTTTGCTCACAGCTATAGCCCCAGGTAGTGCCTGACACAAGGTTGGGGCTCAATAAATATTCTTTGGATGAATGGATAATACAAGGCAGAGAAGTTTGAGCCGTTTAAGAACTGTAACCAAGGCGAAATCGGTAATAGGAGGGACAGGTATCTTCCAGCATCTCTGATGTCATGTGTATAACTTACAGATAATTGAGCCGACAGGTCATGAATCTCCTGTGCATTGCTGTTTTTCAAAGCCATCAACTGCTTGCTCTTCCATCCTCCTCAAGTAAGATCATGGATGCATTGTTAATGAACACACTGCTTAACACACTGGCCTCAGGGAAATGAGCAAGTTAGATTAAATGAGGGTGGGGACAAATATGCAAGATCCTTTTAGGTAACAGAATGATTTGATGTGTACACTGGCCCATCAAACCTCTACTTCATAGGTATCATAGCCCAGGAGGGAGACCTAAAGGAAAAACATTAAGTAAATAATAGAGGTGGTATACAAATATGAAAATTGTAAAGACGACATCAATGACTAGAGTTTGAGAAACGCGAAGGAAGATGATTAACATCATTTTAGTTTTACTGTTTTCTTATTTAAATTAACTTCAAAAAATTTGCCCTCTCCCAATCTAAATAATTTAAAACCTAGTTCATATTCTTGAATCCTCTGAATGTTTCTCAACAAGTTTCTGAATAGTTGACTAAATATACATATCATCTGTCTTGGGGTGTTTTGTTTTGTTTTTTACAGGGACTTCTTTATGAAGTAATTATGACTTAAAAAGTGGTGCTGCTGCTAAAAGTTTCATCAGTAGGAAACAAAATGAGATAAATAAAATGTATTATCTACAGTTACAAAGCCAAACTGACTTATCTTAAAGGACTTTTTAAAAAAAAGATATGACATTAGGACCATTCATGGTTAGACAATCTTTGCTTTTTAAATGGTGGAGGCTGTCAAAGGTAGTCTTTCTAATGTTCTAGGCAAAATAAGCACTGTCAATCATCTATGGATTCCACCACCACTTAAATAAAGTATATTATTTTCTGAAATTTAGAAGTACGAATGTTAAGGATGGCGGTTCAGTGTCATTACGAAGTCTACTTGGAATTATTCCTTAATGCAGATTGTTGATTCTTCAAATAACCTTTGCAAAATATTCAGAATCATGACACCTCGATTTCCTCTAGTTCTCGGTCATAGACATGGGTATGTGTCAACATCATTTAATATACTCAACTACTATGAATCAAGAAACAAGGTCTCATGCAGTGGAAACTATCATTTCTTTGAAGGCATTTTAAAAATTCACCTCTGTCCTTTGAACAATTTCATTATTTTTAGAAATGATATTAGGCATCTTTGATGCCAGCATTATTAACATTACCATTTTAAGCAAGCCTTTACTAATGTAGTTTTATTGGATTCCATTTTGTTAATCTCTTTCCATAACATTAAATAACTTCTATATCACTTTAGTGAAATCATATTGTGATGTTGTATAATGTACTGTAATCTATTTAACTAGTTCCTTATTGTTTATCTAATGCTTAGTTCCATTTTTTCCTATTATAGTGTTGAAATGAGCATCTTTGTCAAGTTAAATATTTCTTTACATTCTTGAATAATTCATTAGTATGAATCCTGAAAGTGTAGTCCCTAGGAAAAGTGTATACAAATTTATAAGACTTTTGATAGATTACACAGAACTGATTTAAAAATGTATGTTTGTTTGCATTTTTATTACGATGTTTACAGTCCCCGGAGAGGTTAGAAAAATAATTTAACTCATTGAATAGCCCTCCTTACACCTCATTTAATTTCCAAAACCCTCATTATTGCTAAGATGAGGCATCTTAGAAGAAATCAGCAAACTTTGGCTCTTAAACAGATCCTACATATCATCTTATTCTAGAGTTGAAGAACTGATACTGAAGACTCAACACATCTGTGCACAGTCATGACTAACAAGGAGCAGAGCCAATCTAATCCTGGCCCCAGCTGCTCTTGTCTCCTCCCAAGATGCTCAGAAAAGTTGAAGTTGCTCTTTGGATATTGAGAATTTGGGTTCAAGAAAGTTAAACAGACTCGAATGTGTAAATTTCAAGCTGATATTAACAAGATAGATTATTTAAAAATCATTTTGCAATTAAAATGTTCAGCTCCGAAAAGTTTTCTGGTTTATTATCTGTAATACCAATAGCCACCAAGTGCTGTGTAATTCCACTCAAAGCTGATTATATTTCAATCTATATCAAATAAACTATACCTAATCAAAATAGCTATACTGCTTTTTCTAAGACATGTTTATTATAAAAACAATAATAAGCAATAATAAAAAGATGAAATGCAAAGTGAAAATCATCTATAATTGCACCAACCAAAGATAATTACTCCAAACTTTTGGTATATATCTTTATCATCTTTTACATACTTATACTTTATGTGATCTATCTAGAGAGCATACAAAATATCATACTGTTTTATAATCTTTTTTCTCACATGCCATTGACACTTTTTAGTGTTAATAAATAATGATCTATATTGTAATTTGTGATGCCCACGTGGTCTTTTATTGTACTGTAATTTATTTAACCAACCTCTAATTGATGGACATTAGGATTGTTTAGAGTTTTTAACTAGTCTAAACAATGCAGCAGTAAGTAATCTTTTAAATAGTTGTTTAAATATATATAATAAGTAAATTGCTTTTCTTTTGGGAAATGTTACATGTAGTTTTATTTCCTAGAGATTCACAATGTATTTTCAAGCAAATATTTATTGAACACCTACCAACTGTGTTAGTGCTGAGATTAAATTCTTACAGTAAATTCTAAATTTTAAAAATTTAAGGTTTCTATGGAGAAATGAAAATTCCTGTGGCCAGGATTCTCACCTGTCCCTGGCTGGCTAGCTCACTACACAGGTGTGGGCAATACTTCATTATTGACTATATAAAGAGCTCTGCCCAGTGCTCTGGGCGACACAGTGACACGGCTGCAAGGCTGTAGGAGAGCAGAGGCTGGAGTGGTGGCAGCACCGAGGACAGAGGCCCAGAGGCAGAGACCAGCTTGCTGCATGCAGACTCACTCTGAGTGAACGGGACTTGAGTGACTGACCTGCCACTATGGAAATGAAGTTGGGTATAACTCTTTCACCCCAAGAACGTTCTACTGTCATTTATTTGGGCATGCCAAGTCCATAGTGAACTTGCCTGGGGCTGAAACCCACTGGCAAGACATTGGACAACAGTCGGCAGGGTTCATGGGTGACAAAAGAAGAACAGGTTGCCCTCATGGGACGAGTGTTTCAGCAGGTTGCACCTGTGGATGGGGAGGCACTTGAGTGTCCCCCTGGACATGTGGTACTGTGAAGGGGTGGAGAGTTGAGGTCCATCCCAAGAGAAAGCTGCCTGAAATGGAGTCACTACGAAGTGCTGTGGTCCAAGAAGCAGCACGCAGGCTGCCAGGTGCCATGGGGCAGGTGGAGGATGTAGTGGAGCTGTCAGCCCAGAAATGGAGGAGAGGAGGTCCCTCCTCGGTGGAGACCCTGCCTGGTTGAAAGCTGGTGGAAAGCCAGAAGCACTCGGCAACCACGGGTTCTTCCAGGAGAGGTGCAGCCCCCTCCTCAGGCTGTGGAGCGCTCCATGCTCTGCTTCTGTCCTCAGATTCAAGCACAAAAGGAAATACGGTCTGCTTCTCGAAGGAAGAATTTAAAGGGCCCTGTGAAGGCCGTGAGGACCCAGATGTGGGCTGGTTTGGTTTGAAAAGGCGGGAGCAGACAGAAAGAAATTGGACTCTAGCTGTGGCCATTGAGACCAGAGCAGCAGTTCTGGCTGCTGAGGATGAAGCAGAAGGCAGAGATAAAGCAACAAGAATGGCCTGTGTGTCTGCAAGACTTTTTGCTAGAGAGGCTGGAGTAGGTGGGTATTGTCAGGCCCACCCATAGTCCTTTTGGTTAACTCCTTGGAGTAGAATTGGTTTGAATACAGCCAGGGTGACTGCTTGGTGACAATGGATCTCCTCAGGCTTGAGGGTTATTATAATTTGTTAGAACTGGTTTGAATATGCAATGGATCTCCTCAGGTTTGAGGGTTATTATAATTTGTTGTAATTTTTGTTATTTGTATATTGTCGTAGCCTCTGTTATTATGGAATTTGGTTACAATGCTCCAGCTTTCTCACACAGGGACCGTTGTAGAGGATTGAGGGCACATAGATTGAGAGAAGAGAATCCTGGAGGGGTGCGGTGTGGATAAAATGAAAGTTCCTGTGGCCAGGATTCTCACCTGGCCCTGGTTGGCTGGCTCACTACACAGGTGTGGGCAATACGTTATTGACTCTGTATAAAGAGCTCTGCCCAGTGCTCTGGGTGACACAGAATGGCTGCAAGGCTGCAGGAGAGCAGAGCAGAGGCTGGAGTGGTGGCAGTGCCAAGGACAGAGGCCCAGAGGCAGAGACCAGCTTCCTACATGCAGACTCGCTCTCAGTGGATGGGATTTTAGTAATTGACCTGCTACTATGGAAATAAAGTTGGGTATAACCCTTTCACGCTAAAAACATTGTACTGTTATTCTATGGACACTGAATACATAATGAACTTGCCCAGGGCTGAAACCCATTGGCAAGACAGTTTCCCAAACATTTTTTTAAAATCATGGAGCTCCTCCATCCCCATTTTTTTAAAAAAGAAAATCTGCTAGTGTTGCACTAGTCTTATCTAGAGCAAAGGTTGGAAAATGCTAACCTTGTCTGTCTTGTTGAAAACTATTAAGTGCCTGTACCTACCTGTTGCTTTTTCAGGGACTGAAAATGTCTCAGGAATTATGTAGAGGAAGACATGTTTTAGGCATTTCGGAAGAACACATCTTTGATCTAAATGGCCAGATTAACTTCCAGAGTAAGTAGTATTTTGGTGTGAATATTTTGGTGGAACGCTGGAGTTTTGTTTTATTTTTCCAATAGTATTCATATCAACATATCTAACAGGATTCTTGAACATAAAAGGAGAATATGGGCTGTAAAGTTTTGGGCTCAGTAGTGGATTTGTTGAGGGAGAGGTGTGAATTTGCATGGGGGAAGAAAAAGTGTGGAGAACATCAGAGAGGTGGAATTATTATAGGGAATTAAGGATGGAGGTTTTGAAGATTGTATAGCAATATGTGAAATAATTAAAATATTTAGTAGAAAAAGGATACAAAAACACATTCATAATATGTAAAAACCAGTATGAAAAAAAACTGGGGGACCAGAGGGAGTGGGGAATCCAATAAAATCATGGCATTTGGGTTGGGGTGCTTTTTCCCTCATCTCTAATTGTCGTTTTCATTTTTATTTTTAAAATATATAACAAAATAGAAAAGAGAAGAAATACTAAAGGATCAGACAAAATTAGAAGAGAGGCTTATGGAGGAGGAGGAAGATAGTGGTTGAGTCGAACAAAGGCAACAAATAGATTAAAGAGAAATAGGGTAGAAGAGAGAACATTCCGTTTGTCCTGGAGGAGATCATTAATGGCTCAAGTGCTGTGAAGTGGACAAAAGCCAGTCTGTAGTGGGGTCAGATGAGAGAACCAGAGAAGAATAATTTTTTTTTTTTTTTTTAGGACCTGGGATCATAATAATTCACTTAAAGGTTCCCCCCAGCCACTGTTACTTTAGTTCTGGTTTTATCACATTGGGATTTTGCCTAGATCAGTTTTTTCCAGGAGGTGATAAATGAAAACCTTAAAAAAAGAAATCCTGTAAGTTTCTTTGCCCTTACATTTGAACTGAATAATAAAGAAACGGTAAATTCTTTCTGAGCTGAGCTAGAAATGCTACCATATAGAAATCTTAATAATATACTCTGTGCATGCCATTTAAAAACAGAAGAACTTGGTCACCCAAGGTCATTTCAGATGCCTTTTTTTCTAAGCGATTTGTGTATATTTTATCCATAAAAGACAAATTATTATGAAAGGACATGAAATATAGGGTTTAAGAAACCTAAAGAACAAAGTGCATTCTTTGCTCTTTGAATTTCTTAATATTAAGTTCTTAAGACTCCTGCGGCTTACCTTCAAACAAGCAACCTTGAAACTACTCCACAAGACCTGGTTAAAGGACAAACCAAAGAGTTTTCACTTATAAAAAAAAAAAAAGCACACGGGAGGGAGAACGTTCAAGTCTTCCAGTATCCATACTTATTAACTGAATTGAATGCCTGTGGGGAGTCTCCTGGGAGCGCACAGTAGCAGCCTCTTTATATTACAGCTCAGCCAGAAGCATTTATTCCCTTGTAATTAAGGCCAAGGGCGCAACCAGTGATGCGAATGGAAGCAATTATGTGGATTATTCAGTTCCCTCAGCGTTTCTCAGGAGTTTATATGTTTGTGGCTTTGTTTGTTGGAAGTTCCTGCATATCCCTGGATTCTCTGGGTCCTTGAGGTCCAGCCTCGGATTATAACAATAGCTAATACTTATACACCACTTACTATATGCAGAGACTGTTTGGGTGTCTTTAGATATAATATCTTCATCCTTTTGAAACTCTGCAGGGGTTAAGCATGAAGTGCAAAGACCCCTGAGATGAGGTTCAAATGCAAGGAGTTCGTCCCTGAAGTGGTCCTAGGAGTGGCTTGTATGCACTGGGGAAGCAGGAAAGGGAAAGGAAGTTGGGTGGAGGAAGGGTGCTTCTCAGGCCCCAGGCCCTTGGGGGCAGCTTCAGCCAGTGCCGCAGGGCACTCTGGGGTGTAGTCTAGGAAAGGCAGTGTGGCTTCCGTCTTGTCTTGCTGCACAGTTACTGCTTAACAACCAAAGGGTAGCCAAGACGGTGTGTGTGATGTGGTGATGGTGATGGGGAATCTATGAAGGAGAAGAGGTGCTTGCTGAAGGGGGTAGGACAGAAACCTACGTTGGCTGGTACAGGTAAGTGCTGTTCTCTCCGAGTGACAGTGGAGGCCACTAAGTCTTGCCCAATATCTCAAAGCTTAGAAGCAGCTGGGATTTGAACTCCTGCAGTTTGATTCCAAAAGCAGTGTGCTCAAACCATTATGTCATCAGGGAAAGATTACAGTGAGCTATGGTATTATCAGTGTTCTACAGCTTCACAATGGGCTATGTAGCACAAACTATTTTGATTGTATTGAGTTTCTAAAAATGTTGAAGTATGTCTGAGGAGGAATCCATTAATAATTTGTTGAATTAAGCCTCAGATACCCTAGCCCCCAAGCATAAGGAAAACTTTGGGCACAGACTGAAAAAATCAGACAGTTGGTGTTCTTCAAAGAATGCTTTGCTCCCAAACCACTCTGGTGAGTGGAATCTGCCCAACTCTCACAGAACTATGTAAAAAGTGATTGTACAAGTCTTTCTTAACAAGATGTATTCACACAGATCCTGTTTTTACATTAAGATGTCAGTTTAAAATGCTGACCTTTTTTCCTGCTCATCCTCCTCCTAATTTCCTATATTTTAAACAGTTTATTTTCTTCTCCAAATAAAGTGATTTTTTTTTTTTGGTGGAACACTGTTGTCTGAAACATTTAAGAATTTCTTAAAACTTTAAAGGAAGTCACTTTTATTTACTAAAGGAATTATCTTTATTTTTAAAGACAATTTACATACTTGTTTTAAAAAACAAGTATGTATAATACTAGTCTATTTTTTCCACTTGGTAAAAAGTGGCTTGGGAAAAGTAGAAGTTGTACAGTTATTTTCTGTGTGTTTTGGGTGATGGGGAAAATGCTCCTTTTTTTTACTGATATCTGTGGAAGATAATGCTCTGTGGGTGCGTTGGACCCTGGCCTCTGTTGTGCCACCGTGATTGTTGAGCAAGGGAGTACAAGGGAGGGAGAGGCCTGAATGCTTGCAAGATTCTGAGAGCCTAGATAATAAAAGCTAACATTTCTATGGTGCTTATTATGTGCAAGGGACCATTAGAATAATTTTGCATATATTGACTCCTTAAATTCGCCTAACAACTCTATAGGATAGGTACTATTATCTCCATTTTACAGAAGAGGAAACTTTACAGAAGATCACACAGCTGGTTAGTTGTGGAGTGGGGATATGAGTCCAGGATATCTGCTTTCAGATTCCATTCTCCTGCCCATTACCCTGCATGCCCATCTGAACTATAGAGAATGTGCTAATAATGTTGCCAATAATGTTTTATTTCTGAATGCTCTGCAATGTGTTTTTAAAGAGACCTCTACTTTAACTTGGTAACAGCTAAGCTATAGGAGAAAACTTCAGTTCTGCTAGTTAGAAAAACTTACCAAAAGGTCTTAGAGTCGATATGAAATAGAACCCCCTTATACATGTTCGGAAACTTTGAAGAGAAAGAGGTGGCAGCCGGGCAGATGAGCTCTTGGTTCTGCATGTAGAAGATGGTTCTCCATGCCCATGGGGAGCTGGCACTGGCAGCAATTATATCACAGAGTCACTCTCAGCATGCAGCTGCTTGCTACGAATTAAACTGCTGGAACCAGATCTAGAGAGCTTCATGTTACCATGGTTTTTATGAGGCGTGCACATTAGTGTGATATATTTAGTCCTCAGAAACAGATTTCAAGTTAGCTTTCTCACCAAAAAGATAGTGTATGTTGGTATTACTTGTGGTTATTTCTTCATTTCCCCTAGTAAACAGTCGCACACCTGTTTCTTCTGTGACTAAGCTGACCTTCCTACCCAGGTTGTGGTTTAGGGACAGGAGGGACCCACAGGGGTACACTTGCTGCCCTCTAGGGGTGAGAGAGATCAAGACAGCTTATCTCTGAACCTCTCCTGTGGGTTACAGGGAGATACTGGCCTTACTCTTTTAGAAACTCCCATGAATGACATTTGTCAAAAGGGGATGAGGTGAAAACGTTCTGAACTTCCAAAAACAATAATGGGATTTAATTAAAATTCCAAGCCAGGCCTTTGATAGTTACTCTGTGGTCACGGAAGATAGAAGTTTTGGTCCTGTGTTTCTCAAACAGTGCCTCTCCACCTCAGCTGCTAGATAGAAATCTGTCAAGGTTGTTTTAAAACTATAAGTAGAGCTAACACAATGCGTTTGCCACATGCAGGGTACGATTCTAAGTGCTTCCTATATACTAACCTATTTATATATATGCTAATCTATGCAACAGTCCTGTGAGATGGCAAGTCTGATCATCTCATCTTATAAATAGGGGAGACAAAAAAGCTGTGACATATTTCTCACAGCAAATGAGTGATAGAACTGGATTTGAACCCAAGTATGTTGGCTTCCTGGATTAACCTTGTAACCACTTCACTGCACAGCCTCTTTTATAGCTATGAAAGCAACATCAGAAGCCTAATTTAATGTAGAGGTTTGGCTAAAAATCTTTGACTGAAATCTAACAATGAAAAAAAATGACTGGCTTGGACACTTCAAAAATGTCAGTAACATTATAGACAAGGAGAAAGAGGAGAAGGAGGGAGGGGAAAGAGAGAGAAAGGACTGACTATTCCAGATGAATGGCAATGAAATACAATGCCTGGTCCATGATTATACCTCAAGTATAAGAAACAAAACTATGGACAACTTTATTGGGAAATTGAGGATATTTGAATATGACTATATTGCATATGATCCTTTTATTGTGGTGATATAGGAATATGTCCTTATTCTTAAGTGATACTTGATGAAGTATTTAGGGGTGAAATGTCAGCTACCAGCTAATTACTAACAAACAGTTCAGCAAAAAAGCAAAAATATACCTGAGAAAGAAAAATCAAATGCAGCAAAATGTTCAAAATTGGCAACACTAAGTAAAGGATATATGATGTTCATCATACTACTTTTAAAGCTTTTTTGTAGGTTTGGAATATATAGGGTAAAAATTAGGGTGAAAATAAGCTTTAAGTCAAAATAGGAGTCAGCCAAGGATAAACCCAGTATCTGCCA